TATTTAGGTAATTAAATTTACAAACGTAAGTAGTCATCGTTCAATTCAAAATAAAATATATATTTTATATATATATATTATATTAATTATATATGTTTATATATTTATTATATTAATATTATATATTTATTAATTATTAAAATATATTAATAATTTAAATTAATCATCGTTCAAGTAAAAAAAAAAAAGAAATTTACCTGTCGTATCTTGAGACGATGAATATGTCGGGGCCCCCGGACGACCTCTTCCCCTGTACTCCCACTTCGACGGATCACACGAAGAAGTGCTCTTACGCCCCGGCTGACGACCTGTTTCTGTGTACCCCGATTGCGATGGAGCACACGAAGAAGTGCTTTTACGCCCCGCCGTGCGGCCTCCAACAGTGTACTCCCATTTCGATGGATCGCGTTTTGTTGAATTTTTCTTCTTGGGGCGACCTCTCGGATTTTCCTTCACTTCAGGTTCTTTGTATCCCTGTTCATCAGGATGAAGTTGAGCGGCGATGACATGGTTCAAGTACCGTATAGTCGCAGGATCAACCGCTTCAACCTCCTCGGCAAGTCGCCGAAAATAATCATGATCAGTCCATCCACTCACCGACGCACTCTGCTGACCTGTCCGTACCGAAAATTTAAAAAATTATACAATGTGCTCTATCAAAAAAAAAAATCAATACATGAAGCAATACGTGGAGTAAAAAAAAGTATACAAAATTTAATAAAATTATATTCTTTACATGATGTTTTATAAGTTTATTAATCTCATGAGTATACCTGGCTCCGTCACCACGAGTGTGCTCCAGAACCTGTGGATGTCGTTGGGCGTAATCTGTGTACCTTCAGTGTGTGCCTCCCTTAGGTCACAGGCACAAGGAAGTCCATGAGTGTATTTTAGCGCACAATCGCACAGATCACAAACATCTTTGCCGAAGTCTCGCATCTTCTGAAGCTCATCATTCAATATATCCATACAATAATGCGAGACTCGCAGTTTCAACTGTTCGAAAGGGAATCCCCTGTAGCCTGTACTCATCCTGAGTCTCGAAGACTCCAACGTCTCCCTATTAATACATAACTTAATTATTAATATATGTTAATAATTAATATATACATAATATTTATATATTTATTTCTTAATATGTTTTTATTATTAATATATAATAATATATATATATTTTCTTAATATTTTTCTTAAATAAATATATATATAGTAAACATATATATATATATTTTATTTAAATTTATATAAATAGGTATATATATATTATATTTAATTTATATAAATATGTATATATATATATTATATTTAATTTATATATTAAATAAATATATATCTATATCTTAGATATATATTTTTCAAAAACAGAAATAAATACTACATATTTTTTTTTATAATTAATGCATTATTAAAAAATACAGTCTGACTGTATAATTTGAAGAGTATACCTGACTTTAGTCAGTTGAGACTCAATCTCCTTGTCAATCTTCTCCCAAACCGTGTCGAGCGAACCAGTCGACGTTTCAAGCCACCTCTTCAACGTAGCGTGGGAACTCTCCACCCTACACGTCGTTGTGTTGCCAAAATGTAAGACAGTGTCTGTCCACACTTTGACAAACTTCTCCTTGTGCGCTAGCCACGTCTTATCCACATAATCCAGCACATGAGGAAACTTCGCGTATGTAACAATCATATCTTCTACGGCATCTTTGTATTTCTGCCACGTGTTCGCCTCGACAACCTTCTTCCACTTGCCGTGCGTGAAGTTTTGCGCGATGATCTTATTTTTTGACGTTAGTCGATACACATTGTCTTCCACATCCCTGTTGATGTGCCACGTGCAGAGTAAGTGGGGCGTCGTTGGGAAATTCCTCTGAATAGGAGTAATCAACCCCGACTCCTTATCACTCACAATGACTGAAAGTTGTTTATCAGACTCTAACATCAGTCTCAACCGCTGTAGGACCCAGTCATAGCTATACTCGGTCTCGTTATTCACAATTGCATAAGCAATCAAGAAGTTTTTGTTGCACGGTGTCATTCCAATCATCTCAACCAATGGCATGTTGTTCCTGTACAAATGAAATCAACAAAAGTAAAAAACATAGGATCAAAAAAACTTACTCAAACATATATTCACTTTTTTAAGAATAAAAAAAAAAATTATCGCCGCACAAAACAAAGTTTATAAGAATTTCTGACAACTACTATATTCACTTTTTCAAATATTATGCCAGTGTTACAATTTTTTTAATAAATATACTTATAAAAGTAAGAACGAATTTTTTTACGGGATTTCTATTACTATTATTGTTTCAGGTAAATACTAAATTTTTTTAATATTTATAGAGATTAATTAAGTAATGTAACATACCTGTTCGTTTTGTACGTGGAATCTATACCGACATACCAATAATATGTCCGGAATAGACTGGCTGCTCGTGGATGCGACATGAACACACGTGTCAACGCCTGTGTGTTCGGGTCAACGTCTGTGTAAACTATGTAGTTGCTGGCGGTAGCCAAATGCAGAAGCTGGCCAGCAACATTTCTACCCCCCAGACGTTCTTTTCGCAATAGAGCTTTGTAGTTATAAACTTGTTGGCAAGTAGCGTTGTCCACAGGGTTTTTGTCCTGAATTGCAGCCAAAATTACTGCCGGTCTTGCCTGAGCATCACTCATATCACGGATAATCTCTTTGGATGCATCGCTGAGTCTGCTGATCTGTCGATGACCCTCGGGATACTCAATCAACGCATGATTATGAAATCCTTTCTCGTCTTCTAAAGGAAGAAAAATACACCATTTTTTGGATTCCTCGTCAAATTTCACATTTAGCTAAAAAAGACAGCCAGAATATTTAGTCTTCGAACGTCTGAAGATAGTATTCACTAAATTCCCTAGTTTTCCTGCCTTGCCCCTGTAACGCTCCCCTCGATCACACCTCAACGTTCGAACCTTTCCATCTTTATTGTGTCTCGAGATGACTAACTGGAAACCCCATATTATTGCAATGTCTTTTTCCCATTGAATAGCTTTCTCGGGAAGATCAAATACCTCGTCTGTAACGAAACAAGCTCGATAATCTTCACCGTCGCCCCCAAAATCTTCGACTGGCACCTGCAATATGTTACTATATATGTTAATAATTTTACAAAAATAATGAATTGTATCAACACCCAAATATATATCATATATTTATTATATTATGTAAATATATATTATATATATATTACATTATATATTAGATATTTATATATATTTATATATATTACATTATACATTATTATATTAAATATTTATATATATTTTTAAAATTCCGAAAAAAAAAGGGAAAAAAAACGCAAAAAAAAATTTCTTTAAAATATTTTTTAATTTAAGAAAAAGGCAAAAATATTAATTAAAATATTTTAACTATTTTTTTTTAAATTTAAATAAAATATATATTATTATATTTATTTATTTAAATTTATATAAAATATATATTATTATATTTTAGATTCACAAAAAAACGAAAAAAAGATTTTATAATATATATTAAATTTATATATTAAAAACCGAAAAAAAAATGCAAAAAAATATCTTTTAAATATTTTATAATTAAATAAAAAATTAATTGCGAAAAAGGTAAAAATATTATTTAAAATATTTCTAATATTTATTTTTAAAATTTATATAAAATATATATTATTATATTTATTTTTCTAAATTTATATAAAATATATATTATTATTTTTATTTTTTAAATTATAATATATATTCAATTTTTTGTAAAAAAAAAAAAAAGCAAGCCGCGTTATGATTGCGGCTATGAGACGGCCGGGCCGCGCCGCGATTGCGCCTGATAGGGCCGCGGTCGCGGCCGTCTGCACGTGGAATGGCCGCAATAGCGGCGCGGCCGACAAAAAAAAAATCGTTTCAAATTAAAAAAAAATGCCATTCTAATAAAAAAAAATACTTACAGACATTGTTTTTCGAATTTTCGAAATTTTTATAAACTTGTAGTATTTTTTTTCTTTTGTTGATTTTTTTTTTTTTTTT